GGACAGTCTTTCTTCCAGTGCCCCTTTTCTCGACAAAAGACACATTCATCTTTGTTGGGTCTAAATTTTGACTTGGATCTTCCTTTCTTTGTCCTCGTTTGATTTTGAGGACGACCCCTCACAACCAGTGCTTCTCCTTCTCCGCCCTTCTGTTTTTCTCTATATTATCAACCTTCCCTTTTATCCAACGGTCTTTACCCAATGGACCCTTGCATGACTACACTCTTTCTTACTTGCCCCGGTAGTATGACGTATGCATTGTCGTGCAGGCCTTCTGATGGCTCAATCTAGACAGTGGCCGAGATGGTCGCCGCTGTACGACTACGACTTGATCGACCCCTTATCGTTCCTTTTAAAAACAACCATCTTGTGGTCAGATTTTGACCCATACAGATATGATAACAAGTTATCAACATACCTATAGCAGAGGTATCCTAAGAAGTATAACAAACAGAGGTTTACTTTGCTGACTCAGTTCACATCCTTGAGTCTTTTTATTGATGCATCAAGAGAGGTTTTCTTCTATGTATTTTGCTCGAACCCCCTTGCGCCAAAGGAGCCAAAGAGCCGATCCAATTGATCCCTTAACTTCTCCGAAATGGTTACAACTTTGCGGTAGTACAAAGTTGAATCTAGTGATATTGGAACAACTCTTGTCAATTCAATTGAGTTGCATTCATCTCCATAATTAGCTCTTGCAAGAGAGGAGAACAGGTGAATCAAGGACATGAGAATAACAATCACTATTAAAACATTGAAATTAGTTACGAATTTCGTTGCTAATATTTTGTTAAATTGCTCGTAGCTAACAGAATATTTTGAATAATTAGTCGCTAAATAGGATTAGCGAGGAATTTTGCTATTTAACTATAGAATTTGTCCGTTACTAATTCATTTTTTTTAGTAGTGAATAGTTAGAGTCAAATTTATTTTGTGATAGGTTAGTGAAAGTGTCATTCATATTTTACATTTTGTTTGTTCATTAATTTCATTTCTTAGTAGCAAGTATACCGATCGTCAATTCCTTTCAAGCAGATTAGTACATAGTGTTTTAGATATCTCAACTCGTTTCTCTCCCAAAGTCGATGAACAAAACAAAAGATGAATAACAGGTGAAACGAGAATTCTTCTCAAGCAGATTAATATTTCCAATTTTTTATAATTAATTGTGTTAGCCTGATGATAGATGCGTATTAAAATATCTTATCTTCTAGCTCACAATAAGTGACCAATTTGTTTTTGGCATACCCATTAAGAAAATAATAAATTCTAGACGAAAATAGTTAGTGTGACTAAGCTATCATTCATTAAATGTTGCACCATAGTTATAGTACTCCCTCCGGTCCACAATAAATGACTAATTTGCTTTGGGCACACCCATTAAGAAAATGAATTTTTACCTCATATACCAAAGGTTAACACCTTATTTATTTTAAATAAATATCATTTAAATAAATTATATTCTATTGATACCTTTTAAGGTTTATAGCAAAATATTTAATTTTGGTTACCTCCTTGCCCTAAGCCACTAAATACGCTAATCAGTTACAATATTTTCTTTCTCTTTCTATTTTGATACATCCCATTCTATTCCCCCATCCCATTAAAATTTCCGATTGTCTTCCTCTTCTCTGTCTAGCCAACGATTCTTTCCCTTTCATAAAACAACCAAATTCCTTACGAAATATTCGAAGACCAAGAGGAGTAAACGAAGCTGTTCAACTGAAGCTATTCAAGCCTCAGTTGGTTATCTTTCTTCGTTGATTTGGGAATACAGACGTGAGACAAGGCAAGGAAAACCCTACATCTGAACTTGAATTAGAATTGAAAGGCTTAAGGCTAGGGCACAAATGAGTAGAAATAGTGATTTTCTCCATTTTGGAGTAGAAATTGAGATGAAAAGAGGGAATCTAGGGAAAAGGGACCTTTTCTTTTTTGGGTTCTTGATTTGGTTCTACTTATCCTCTAGCTCGACGAGACGACATTAGGGTTGTTCTTGAACAAAGACGGCGGAGTTTGGGGCTGAGCAACTTGAATTTTCTGTTAATATATTTCAATGTATCTCGTTGTATTTCCATGTATTTCACTGTATTCATTGTCTTTTTTTCATTGTATTTCAATGTATCCCGTTGTATTCTATGTATTTCATTGTATTCACTATCTCGCTATATGCCATGAATGTATTCATAAGTTTTTTTTAATTAATATAATTTATGTATTCAGATGTATTATATTATTTCTCTGAAGATTGCTATGTTTTTGAGATATTTTCCGTTGAGAATCTTTTTTAACTGAAAATACAAAATTTATGTGTTATAATTGAGTTTGTTGAGTTATATTAGGAGTCTATTATATTAATTGATTCACTTTCCGTTTAAAAATAATGTAATCCCTTATTTCACGCCGTAAATACAGTCGAATACAATAAATTTGTCCAGCTGTAATCCCATGTTTCACTCCATGAATACAGTCGAATACAACAACTGATTAACTGGACTTCCCTGATTCACGCCTATTTTTGCTACTGTATTCATGAATATAATAGCTTAAATACATCAAATACATCTTATAACCACAGTAAAAATATCTATAATCCGTAATATAGCAAATGGTATCTATAGATGGCTAATTACTACTAAAAGAAGGTGCTTTATGAAAATTTCTCTTAAGAAAATACTAAATTCTAGACAAAATTAGTTAGTGTAACTAAACTACCCTTAATTAAATATTGCAGCATAGTTAATGTGAGGAGTAAAAGACTTTTTAGGGATACGTACATAAAGGTAATTTTGGAAAAACAAATTGAATTTTTTCTTGACTATATAAATGGACACTTATTTTGGACTAAAATAAAAAAGCAAATTGATCACTTATTGTGAACCGGAGGGAGTAATAGTCCTGAAATATTCATTAGTTCATCAATTCAGGTATTTGACTTAGCACAGTACGTAATGAAGATAAGTTTGCAAGAATATTATATTTGTAGTAACCTGAGAAGATTCTCTTTAGAATGCTTATTAATTCTGTTAAAACAATTTGTAAGATAATGAAAGAATAAAAAAATCTGAAAGGGAAATGGCTAGTCATGGTTAGAGTAAGGTATTAAAGTATGGCACTCCAGTCTGAGGCAACCAATCATCTCCTAGTAAGAAGCCAGATACTGTTAAGTTAGCAGCATCAGTAGCGTTAATAATGTGGACACCAGGCCACGTTACTCTGCCAGCACTGTCCGATCCTGGTCCAGTGTTATTGAACTCACCATAGTAAGATGTATTGAGCGCAAAATCTCCTGACCATTCTCGCCAACCTAATTGATGGACGAAACCATCTATAAAAGATTGCATGTAAATAGTCCTCGAGTATTCTTTCCATGGCCTACCAAGATATGTTTGGGTGCTACTGTTGCTGAATGCCAAGTCATCTGCTGCCTTGATTGTGCAGTTTTGGATGGATATACCTGTGTTTTGGTTTGGATCTGTTCTGCCTTGTGCTGTTATTGCGTTGAACTGATTACCCAATGGCAGCCGCGGGTATAAGTTGCAATTCTGAAAAACGGCAGCAGCATTACCGAATATGAAATCCACAGTACCATAGATGTCACACTCTCTGTAGAATTGCCTAAGAGAGTGTACGTATAGTGTATCTTGGTAACCCTCGAAGCTGCAGCTGTAGAAGGTGGATAAGTCTGCTCCATTCCGAACTGCAACTGCTTGGTGCTTGATTGCTCCTGCTGTGTTACGAAAAGTAATGTTCACTGCAACAAATCCTAGACCAACCACAGCTGTAGAAGAAGTCAATTATTGTGAGCTCTAGCTACAACCATGTTAATTACATGGATTGAACAAGGAAAAAATTAAGGAGCTAGGTACTCACAAAACGTAGAAGAATTAAATGTTGTCCATCCATCAACAAAGCTATGATTGCCGGTGATAATGGTCTGGTTGATGCCATCACCAATCATCATTAAATACTTCTTGTTCTTAGCGATGGAGACATACTCCTCGTATACACCAGCGGTAATGTATATTAAAAAGTAGCCAGAGGTGGACATGGAATTGTTTGGAGCAGCAGCAACAGCATCAGTTATGGTGCTGAAATTCCCACTTCCGTCCTGGTTTACTATCACAACGTCTCTCACCAGAACCTGGTCATCATCTTGCTGCTGGAGCAGCTTTCTCCTGCCAACAGTCTCCAAAATTGCTTGGTTTTGTGCAGACATTTTTAATGGCAAGTGACCATTTTGGACCAGTTGTTTTTGGCTTGGGTGAGTTTTAGATCCCTTTTTCTTCTTAGGAACCCATCCCTTTGTGAACAAAGCTAATGAAACACTGTAAAGTTTTGTGTCATTAGATAGAGGTTTAATAAGACCATTCCTCATACTCCAAGCAGAAGACGTCGCCTCGAGTCCATCCAAACAAGTTTGCGTGTTTGTTAGAATGGCACTGAGCATGGTTTGCACGTCGTCAGCTTCCAAGTTTGGTAGAATTTTGGAAGTCCCATTAACAGTTCTGAAAGAAGTTGAAAGATAGTCCATGTTTAGCGCAGCTAGGAACTGGCAATCCTCGAGAGCACGAACAGCACTGGTTGTTAGATGTTTGGATTTGCGAAGGTATTTATGGATGTGGGACAGGAATTTACGAGCTGAAGATAAGGATTTACGAACTGAAAAACGACCATAGTCATAGACATTGGCGTCTATGTTTCCTGTGATCGGAAGCACGGATCTGCAGAAGGAAGGGTAGGGAGTGGACATGCAAATGGTGGAGGGAGAGACAGAGATGTTTGTAGGAACATCAGCGGCAGAAGATTGAGAAAACAAGATCATAGCTAGGAGCATAAGAATGCAACTAAGTGTGACATAATGAGTCAAGAAAAGCTTAGACTTGTTAGCCATAGCTTTAAGTGTCCACAGGAAATGGTGAATGCATGTGAGCTTAGCTTAGTGAATGCTTATATATATATTGCACAATTGCAGTCTTACAGAGGAGCTTAGAGGAAAGATGGTGATAATTAGTTCCTTTTGCACATGAAGGATTGTGTATAGGTTTTGGAACGGTGCAAAGTCAACAAATTATTTGCGTGGCCATTTGCCAGAAACCGCGTCGGTTTTGAATATGATGCAGTATTCATTGATTAGGCTCAAACAGAGAGACAAATTTCGTGTCTGGTGCAGTATGATTACTCCTGCATATTACTGACATATTATCCGTATTTAGTATATGCAGTTAATTAGCTGCGTCTGTTTGAGAGTATATATTGTCAACGAAATGGGCACATGCCAACTGGGTTTCCTAACATACTTATATACGACAACATCGCAAGAAATGAAAATCTAAATCTTGTAATTTGAAAATTACTAGCATACTTATATGCATTTCCATTTTTGTTCTCTATCTATAAATAGAAGTCGGTGGCCACAAGCCCTCTTTCCAACTGAAATGCGAGGGGCGGGAATAATTAATTTGCATGATCGGAAACCAGTGATAATAGGAATTCATGATTCTGTGCTTGGGTCTGCAAGAAACGTGGATTATATTATTCCGTGGAGAGAAACTAGAAAGCATTATAAATATATATTATTATGGAGGTTCATTTAGTACTCCATTGTAAATAAGTTTCATGGAGAAGCAGATTCCGCCGTAAATATGTTTATTTATTTGGTACTCTATTGGAAATAAGCCTCTTGAAGAAGCTTATCATTCCACAGTGGCGGACCCAGACTTTTATATAAGCGGGTTCAGACGTATACCGAAGTCCTTAAAAATAATCGACCGTAAAAGAGATATTGAGTAAACAAATAAACATGGTTTAACTAGTGCTCTTTATTTTGGCTATAACAAAACCTTAAAAAAAATTTGCCTATAAGTTTATCTATTTACCTTTACAATTTGACAAGTTATTAAACTTCAGAAAATTTTACAAATTTTGCTGTACCAATAAGTTTGATCTATATTTATAATACTAGACTTTATTTATTCATTTTAATTAAACACTAACTGTTATAAAAAAGAAGAAGAGCTAAGCTAAAATAATAATTTCATATAGAAAGAGATTAAACTAAAATTAACAATAAATGAAGACTAAGAAGAAGTGCTGGTAACGAGGAGGGCCAGAAAGTAAAAAGATTCCAAATGATGTTGAACCTGGTTTCGAACACACAACCAATTGAAGAACAGAATCCGCTTGCCCATCCCAGCAAGGCACAGCTTTGGTTAATCGGCTTCAACTGTTCTGATTTTATACCATCGTTTTTCTTCAAAAAATAATTTCCACACATAAATAGTAAAAAATATTATGTACTCCGTTATGGATAAATATTATCCCCAGTAGAAGATTATCTATATCTGGTGCAGTAGCAACTTACAAGCAGCTTACACAACAGCTTGCAATAGCAGCTTACACATCGGCTTCCTTTCTTCTATAAATAGAGGAGATTTCAGTTCATTATTGGCATGAGTTTGAAGTTGAATAATACATCAATCTCTCTCTCTCTCTCTCTCTCTCTATATATATATATATATATATATATATATATATATATATATATATATATATA